GTAGCATTCGGGACTTTAAATTTTCCTCTAAGCATTGCCTTTGCTGCATTTTAAAGATTTTGCTAAGATGTGTGTGTGTGTGTGTGTGTGTGTGTGTGTGTGACTATTAATAGTGTGTCACTATTGCAATATTTACATTTTGTCTGAGAATTCTCATTGATGTTTGTGTGGTTGAGAAGTTTGTGGCTTAAATATCTACTTTCTGTAGGCTTTTCAATTTTGTGTCTTATCAAATTCTAGTAATTCTAATGTGGTTTGATTGCATACTTTATAGAATTTTTATTCTTTTACATTTGTTTAGGTTTTATGCCTCAGAATATGATCTGTCTTGGTCTAATATTTCATGTGGCCTTGAAAAAAATGTTTATCCTGCTGGTGTTGAATGAAGGATTCTACAAATATGTATGAATTATAAGCAGGTGCTTAATAATGCTGGTTGGTTAGTTCAGCTATCACTAGGGGTTTTCTGCTTAACTGATCTATTAATTATTGGTAGAAATAAGTTGTTTTTCTTTTTTTGTATTGGAGTCTCACTCTGTTGCCCAGGCTGGAGTGCAGTGTCACAATCACGACCACTGCAGCCTCCACCTACTGGACTCAGGTGATCCTTCCACCTCAGCCTTCCAAGTAGCTGGAACTACAGGTATGCACCACCACGCCCAGATAATTTTTTGATTTATTATAGAAATGAGGTGTCCCCAAGTTGCCCAGGCTTGTCTCGAACCCCTGAGATCAGGCAATCCTCTTGCCACTGCCTCTCAAAGTAATCCCAGTACTGGGATTATAGGCATGAGCCACCATGCCAGGCCTGAAGTGAGTTGTTTTTCTCCAACTGTAATTGTAGATTTTTATATTTTGACTTGAGATTTTGTAAGATTTGGGCTCATGTATTCTGATGCTCTGTTTTATGGGCATAGATATTAAGCGTCATTATGTCTTCTTGTATGATTGATCTCTTTATCATTATGGAATCTCTCCGTCCTTTGTAATTTTCTTTGATCTAAAACCTAATGTGTCTGAATTTAATATAGCTTTTGATTAGGGCTCGAATGGCATATGTATCTCCATACCATTTTATTTAATGTATCTATGTGTTTCTTTTTAAAATGGTTTATTTCCTTTTTCTCTTTTTTTTGAGTTGGAGTCTCACTCTGTTGCCCAGGCTGGAATGAATGCAGTGGCATGCTTACGGCCACCACGGCCTCGACCTGCTGGGCTCAGGTGATCCTTCCGCCTCAACCTTCCAAGTAGCTGGAATGAGCTGGTCAAACCGGTGGGCTCAGGCAATCCACTCACCTCGGCCTCCCAAAATGCTGGAATTACAGGCTGAACTACTGAGCCCGGCCTAAAATAGTTTTCTTATACTCACTGCTGGGCCCTTTTTAAAAAATTCTACGCTTTCAGTTTCTGGTGTTTTTTGTATTATAGATAATACACAGTGAAAGTGATAATTAAGCTGGGCATGATGGCTCACGCCTGTAATCCCAGCACTTTGGGAGGCTGAAGCGAAAGGATTGCCTGAAACCAGCCTGGACAACTTAGCAAAACCTCGTCTCTACAATAAGCCAAAAAAAAAAAAAAATTTAGCTAGGCATGGTGTGCGCCTGCAGTTCCAGCTACTTGGTTGGCTGAGGTGGAAGGATCTCCTGAGCCCAGCAAGTCAAGGCTGTGGTGACCTGGAGTGTTCCGCTATGCTCCAGCCTGGGTGACAGAGTGAGACTCCAACTCAAAAAAAAAAAAAAATTTAGCTGGGCATGTTGATGCGTGTCTGTGGATCCAGCTACTTGAAGATTGAGGTGAAAGGATCACCTGAGCCAGCAGGTCAAGGCTGCGGTGGCTGTGAGCGCGTCACTGCACTCCAGCCTGGGCAGTAGAGCGAGACTCCAACTTAAAAAAAAAAAAATAAATAAATGAAAGTGGTAATTGACATAATTGCATTTATGTGTACATATTATTTTTTCTTTGTTATATTTGTTGTTTTTCAACTTCTTCTCCTTCCATTTTAACTGGGCATTCTGTATGATTCCGTTTTCTTTCTTCTACTAGTGTAGTAAGTCTATTTGTTTCTTAAATTTTATTGGTGAATTCCCTAGAGTTTATAGTATGCCATTTACAACTAATAGACCTTCAGTTTCAGGTAACAGTATACTGTCTTCAGGAGTAATGCTTCAGTGATATAACAGAGTGTTCTGAATTTCTCTCTCCCATTCGATATAGCATCATTATTGTTCATTTGCCCTATTGGAAGCTATCACAACTCAGTACATTGTTGATACGATTATTTTGAACAAACATGTATCTATTAGATCAGCCAGGACTTATAAAACCAAAGAATTTGTTAGGCCAGGCATGGTGGGTCAAGCCTGTGATCCCAGCACTTTGGGAGGCAGAGGTGAGTGGATTGCCTGAGCTCACAGGTTCGAGACCAACCTGGACAACTTGGTGAGACCTCGTCTCTACAATAAATCAAAAAATTAGCCAGGTGTGGTGGCACATGCCTGTGGTTCCAGCTACTTGGAAGGCTGAGTCAGAGGATTGCCTAAGACCCAGCAGATCGAGGCTGCGGTGGCCATGAGTGTGCCACTGCATACCAACCTGGGCGACAGAGTGAGACTCCAACTTATAAAAAAAAGAAGAATTTGTTGTGATTTCATTTAATCCTTTTCTAATACTTTTATATATACATGTATGTGTTTATATGTATCTGTTTTTAAAATTTGATTCAAGTTTCTAGCCTGTATCAGTTTCCTTCTCTCTGATGAAGTTCTGAAACATTTTTATTCTTTTAAATTTACTCAAGTGTATTTTATGTCTCAGCATATTGTTTATATTGGTGAATATTCCTGTATAAAAATTCCATGGGTGAATGTGTGATCATAGCTCACTGTAACTTTGAACTCTTGGGTTGGACGGAAGGGATCCTTCTGTCTCAGTCCTGTGGGTACAGGCATGCATCACTATGCTCAGCTAACTTAAAAAGTTTCTTGTATTGATGAGATACTGCTATTTTGCTCAGTCTGGTCTTGAACTCCTGGGCTCAAATTATTCTCCTGCCTCAGCTTCCCAGAGCACTGGGATGACAGGCATTAGCCTCTGCCCCTGGTCCTTTCATTAGTCTTTTATCATATTTGGTTGAGAGTAAGCCACTTACCAACTTTCAAATGTTCTTTTTTTTTAGTTGAAGTCTCACTCTATCGCTCAGGCTGGAGGACGGTGGCATGCTCACAGGTACTGGAGCCTAGACCTGTTGGACTCAGGCAATCCTTCTGCCTCAGTCTTCAAAGTTGCTGGAACTACAGGCATGCACCACTACACCGGACTAATTTTTTGATTTATTGTAGAGATGAGGTCTCGTCAAGTTGCCTAGACTGGGGTTGAACCCTTGGGCTCAGACAGTCCTCTCATCTCGGCCTCCCAAAGTGCTGAGATTATAGGCGTGAGCCACCACACCTGGCCAAATGTTCTTTTTTAGTGTAATCACATAGAATGGGCTAACTTCTCCAAGAAAAAGTTTCAACAGAACATGTGTAATGTTTCTGTCTACCAGTCATTCATGTGAGACCCAGTGCCCAGCTTGTTATTTCCTGGTTGTCTTAGTCTGTTTGGTTTGTTTGTTTGCTTGTTTAAATAGCATATAATAGAATATTTGAACCTGAGTAACTTATAAGAAATGATATTTAGCCTGGCTCGGTGGCCCAGCCTGTAATCCCGCACCTTTGGGAGGCTGAGATGAGTAAATTACCTGAGCCCACGGGTTCAAGACCTGCCTGAGCAACTTGGCGAGACCTCATCTCTATAATATATCAAAAAAATCAGCTGGGTGTGGTAGCGCGTGCCTGGAGCTCCAGCTACTTGGAAGGCTGAGGCAGAAGGATCACCGGAGCCCAGCGGGTTGAGGCTGCGGTGGCTGGGAGCAGCCACTGCACTCCAGTCTGGACAACAGAGTGAGACTCCAACTCAAAAAGAAATGATATTCTACTTGGAAGGCTGAGGCGGAAGAATCGCCGGAGCCCAGCAGGTCGAGGCTGCGGTGACCGGGAGCGGCCACTGCACTCCAGTCTGGGTGACAGAGTGAGACTCCAACTCAAAAAAAAAAAAGATAAATTTATGTTTTATAGTTCTGGAACTGGGAAGTTCAATGTCAAGCCAGGGGATCTAATAAGAACCTTCTTGCTAGTGGGGAGTCTGCAGAGTACCTAGGTGGCACAAGCATCACATAATGAGGAGACTGAGCATCTACCTCAGGTCTCTTTCTTGTCTCATAAGGCCACCAGTTCCACTCCTGCCATTAATCCATGAATGGATTGACCCATTCATGAGGTTGAAACCTTCAAGACCGTATCACCTCTTAAAGCCCTGACTTTCATTACTGCCACGTTGAAGATTGAGTTTCAGTGTGAATTTTGGAGAGGACAAATATTCAAACCCAGCAGTGGTTCTCCTTTTTATGAGCATGTAACCAAATTTCTACCTTTCAGGGGAAAGACTGGAGTTACAGAAATATATTTTTTGCATAAACAACTTAGGCAACCTCAGTCCCTGTCATTCATTACATTAGTGGAGTGCTCTACCCGATTCCATGCCTAGACACCATGTAAAATCCAACTTTTTGAGCAAGTGTTTCAAAGGGTATGCAGAATCAGGACTGCTAAGTGCTAACTTTCTTCTGTATAGTAAGTAGGAGGACTTTGTCATGACCGGAACTGTAGGCCCACTGTACAAGTAGACATTAAGTGTGACCTAGGCTAGAAATCTCACTCCCTTAACTCATCAATAAGTGGTGTGTCCCAACTGGTACTTTGCCAAGCATCTTCAATTCTAGCATCAAAATTGCTGTGTGGGCGAAAGTGAATGTAGACAGAGAATAAGAGTGACTTTTCCATATCACTGAATAAGTGCTTGGAAGCCACAGCATCATGTGACATTTATGTAGTGAGTATAGATTGTCAGCACTGCCATCCTCAACCTTTCTTCTCTGTACATGTGAGATGTTTCAGGACTCAGTGACCTTTGAAGATGTGGCTGTAAACTTCACCCAGGAGGAGTGGGCTTTGCTGGGTCCGTTACAGAAGAATCTCTATAGAGATGTGATGCTGGAAACTATTAGAAATCTAGATTGTATAGGTAAGGTTGACATCATGTCTTCACTTAAAGATGTTTGTTTCTTGGTTATCAACTCTATTCAATGATTTGGAATGTGCAAAGTGGATGTGTTTGATTTTTTAACAATGTGGGCATTACAGGCACCAGCCCCAATGCAGTCATAAGTGTTTATATAACTTTTTTTTTCCTTGCACCTTAACTACTAATAACCCTCTAATAGACTAGCAGCCTTATCAGTAACATAAACAGTTAATGCATATATTCTATGTCATATGTACTACACACTGTGTTCTCACAATAAAGTAAGGGAGAGAAAAAAATACTAAGAAAATCATAAGGAAGAGAAACTATATTTACTCTCTATTAAAGTGGAAGTGGGTCATCATAAAGGTTTTCATCCTCATTGTCTTCAGGTGTAGTGGACGTGAGTAAGAAGAGAGGTTGATCTTACTGTCTCATGCGTAGCAGAAGTGAAAGAAAATTTATATATATAGGTGGACATATACAGTCCAAACCTATGTTCAAGAGCCAACTGTAGTTTGGTGAATTAATTTTGCATGATTGCAGTGTACATAAAATCTTAAAGTTTTTTTCTACTTTTGTAATATTTATGGTGATTCTTCTGGGTCTACATTATAGGAGTGAAATGGGAAGACCAGAACATTGACGATCAGCACAAAAATCCCAAGAGAAATCTAAGGTAATTTGTACTCACAAGAGAAAGCTATGTTCCTGGAGTGAATCTTAGAATAACTAGAAATTTTTTAAATAAGAAAGTGAATAGACACAGCTTAAATTTATTTATGTTTAGAAATTTTTCTGCAAACACATAAAGGTGACATAGCTATTCAGCTATTCAGTGTTTGCAAAATCGTTCCCTTGGAAACAGTATTAATAATCCCCACATGAATTTTGGAGAGGACAAATATTGCCATTTTGATAACAGCTGCGGTCAAGCAATTTTGAAAGGCATTTAGTCCATTCATGTTAAAACAGGATATGAAGCCTGCACTTTGCATGATAATATTAAAAATGTATACCCAGTACCTATTAATAAATAAATAATTAGTAAACAAACCTTCACTAATGCACTTATTTTTTTATAGACGTCTTATGGAAGGGAGATCCTGTGACAATAAACAAGGTAGTCAATGTGGAGAAAACTTCAGCCAGCTACCTGATACTATTTTGAACGAGAAAACTTCTGGAGTAACACCATGTGAAGGGAGTGTGTGTAGAAAAGACATCATGAGTTGTTCATCTCTTAATTGCTGCAACAGAATTAACACTGGACACAGGCCATGTGAGTATCAGGAATATGGAGAGAAGCCATCTACACAGAAACAATGTGGGAAAGTCTTCAGTTACCACTGTTCCTTTCAAACCCGTGAAAGACCCCATACTGGAAAGAAATCCTATGATTGTAAGAAATGTGGAAAAACCTTCTTTTCTCTTGGAAATCTTCGAAGACACATGGCAGAACACCATGGAGATGGGCCTTATAAATGTGAGTTCTGTGGGAAAGCCTTTGTTTGGCCCAGTTTATTTCAAATGCATGAAAGAACTCACACTGGAGAGAATCTGTATGAATGTAAACAGTGTTTTAAAGCCTTTCCTTTTTACAGTTCCTATCTAAGACATGAAAGAACACACACTGGAGAGAAAGCATATGAATGTAAACAGTGTTCTAAAGCCTTCCCTGATTACAGTTCCTATCTAAGACATGAAAGAACACACACTGGAGAGAAACCCTATCAGTGTAAACAATGTGGGAAAGCCTTCAGTTGTTCTTATTATACTCGAATACATGAAAGGACTCACACTGGAGAAAGACCCTATGAATGTAAGCAATGTGGGAAAGCATTTTATCATCCCAGAAGTTTTAAAAAGCACATGATAATGCATACTGGAGATGGTCCTCATAAATGTAAAGTATGTGGGAAAGGCTTTGATTTTCCCAGCTCCGTTCGAAGTCATGAGAAAACTCACACTGGAGAGAAACCCTATGAGTGTAAGCTATGTGGCAAAGCATTATCTCATGGCTCAAGCTTTCGAAGACACATGATAACACATACTGGAGATGGACCTCAGAAGTGCAAGGTATGTGGGAAGGTCTTTGTTTGGCCCAGTTTATTTCAAAGACATGAAAGGACGCACACTGGTGAGAAACCCTATGAATGTAAACAGTGTGGTAAAGCCTTCAGTATTCCTGCTTCCCTGCGAAGACATGAAACAACTCACACTGGAGACAAACCCTATAAATGTGAATGTGGGAAGTCCTTTATTGATATCTATTCTTTTAGAAATCATGAAAGAACTCACACTGGAGAGAAGCCCTATCAATGTAAGGAGTGTGGGAAAGCGTTCTGTTCTTTCTCCACCTTCCGTCACCATGAAAGGAGTCACACGGCAGGAAATCCTTATGAGTGTAAAACATGTGGGAAAGCGTTCAGTCGCCACAGTTACTTAAAAATACATGAAAGGAATCACACTGGAGAGAAGCCGTACGAATGTAAGGTGTGTAGCAAAGCATTCTTTTGGCCCTGTTTCCTTCTAAGACATGAAAGGACTCATACTGGAGAGAAACCCTATGAGTGTAAACAGTGTGGGAAAGCCTTCAGTCGTTCCACTTTCCTTCGAGTACACGAAAGAACTCACACTGGAGAGAAGCCGTATGAATGTAAGGAATGTGGGAAAGCCTTCAGTTTACTCAGTTCCTTTCATAGACATAAAAGGATTCACTGGAGAGATACTGTATAAATGGATGGAATGTGGGAAAGTGTTCATTAGTTTTATTTTATTTCAGACACCTTGGAGGTGAACTCTGTGAATGTAAACATGTAGTAAAGCCTTAAGTAGTTTCAGGTTTTTTTTAAAACACAGTCATGAAACTGCCTATATAAAATTAGTATGGTGCTACAGGATACAAGCTGCGGAAAAGAGCTGAATCCTGCAAAGTTACAGGCATAAGTTAAAAGTGAACAAATTTGCTTTTAAATTTTGTTTCTGAGCTTGCCTTCTTCCTTGTATGATTACTCACACATAGTCACTTCAATAGAGAATAGCCATTAATGATTTATCATGTTCATGTCCTGACCTCTGAGATAAGTGCCCTCAAGATTTTATTTTTGTTTCTATTTAGATTTGGGGTTACACACGTATATTTGTTGCATGGACATATTGTGCAGTGGGGGGGATTGGGTCTCCAGTGGCCCATTCCTCAGACAGTAAATCTTGTGCCCCATAGGTAGTTTCTGAACCCTAACCCTCCTCTGCACTCCCCCCATTGGTGTCCCTGGTGTTGACTATTTTCATATTTGTGACTTTGGCTCCCACATATAAGTGAGAGCATGTGGTGTTTCGTTTCTGTTTCTGAGTCATTTCACTTAGGATGATGATCTCCGGCTCCATCCATGAGTTCATTCTTTTTTATGGCTGTTGCCCTCGAGATGTTTGAACTTATTTTCTCTTTCACAATGAACCTTAGATCACGTAGACCTCCCTGAATGTTCCCAGAGTTTGATTGATTTCCCACACACCTTTCTGTAAAACTATAGGCAGAAATTATAAATGATAACCAGCCATTGTCCTCCACTTTACTTCTCTCATGGCCTATGCCCAGGAGTCAAGTCACCAGTGGTCACAAGACTTGTAACTTTTCCAGTTACTGTTGTAACACCTAGACTTGGTCTTTGAGATATTTTTCAGACTTTGCATTTTGATGGACCAACTGGCTCCACCCAGATCTGTGACCCATGGCAAAGATCTGACTCAAACGGTCTTGATCCCCACAGCTCTACACCCTTATGGCTCTCTGCACATGAAGACGGTTTTGACACCCTTATGACTTCATCTTCAACCAATCAACAGTGGTCATTTCCTAGCCTCCTGCTATCAAATTGCCTTTGAAAACCCAAAATTCCATGGCTGGGCATGGCAGCTCATTCCTGTAATCCCAGCATGTTGGGAGACCGAGGTGAGAGGATTGCCTGAGGCCCTGGGTTTGAGACCAGCCTGGGCAACGTGGCGAGACCTCATCTCTACAATAAATAAATTAAAAAAAAAAATTAGCCAGGCGTGGTAGTGCATGACCTGTAGTTCCAGCTACTTGGAAGGCAGAGGCAGAAGGATCGCCTGAGCCCAGCAGGTTGAGGCTTGAGTGACCGTGAGCATGTGACTGCACTCTATTTGGGCAACAGAGTGAGACTCCAACTCAACAAAACAAAACAAAAACCCCAAAATTCTCACAAAGGGGATTTTAGAAATATCTCCTGTCTTCCATGTGGCTGCTTTGCAGTAATTAAGCTCTTTTTTTTTTTTTAACTGCTGCTGCTGCTTAATTGAATTGAATTTCTGTATAGTGGACATGACCCAGTTAGTACCCAATATATGCAAGGGATTGGTTCCAGCACCATGTGATGATACCTAAATCTGCAGATGCTCAGGTACCTTTTATAAAATAGCATGCAAATGTTTGCATGCAATATATGCACATCCTTCTATATGATGAAAATCATCTCTAGGTTACTCATGCATTGGGTACCTCATACATTGTCAAAGCTGTGTATGTAGTTGTTTCATTGAATCGTTTAAGGAATCAAGATAAGGAAAAAAATCTCTACATGTTCAATAGATGCAAACATCATAGGCCTGCCTTCATGTAGTACATGTCAGCCAGAGCGTTACAGATTCTTTCAACACCCACAGATTGCTGTTGTTTAATGATCTGAAACTGTGTTAACACCAAAAATCTTCATTCTTCTTTCTTGGTAGCGCATGTACAATGGTGATAATGACAATGATGGTTACGGTATGGTGTCTAACATTGTGTTGTGTTGATATGACTGGATGTTGGTAGATACATGGACAAGACTGGAAAGTAGAACTAGGAAGTGATGAAATTGAATATTGAGTTGACAGTGTTTGTCAGAAGTGTTGACAAGGCAGCCTGTTTCCTCTTGACTGTATATACTAAACTGTAAGGAGAGAAGTGAGTGCAGATGTGATAATTAAGCAAAAAGGAGCTGAACTGAAAGGGTGTGGAAAATTCCCAGTCTGTTCATATTGGAAAGATGAAAAAGTATGATGGGAAGAGAGCACTACGGGTGTGTACAAGGATCCTTTGATAAAAATAGTAGTATGGATGTGAACATGGACTTAGCCACCGGGGAATAAGCCCCTTTGAACTGAAGGGGAAGGGGACAGGAAAAAATGAACAAAAGGTTTTGGACTTGTCTTATTTTTCAGGGAGTGTGTATAGAACTATTCAGATGTGAATGTTCTTCAAGAGAAGGGAAGAAGGACCCTGGTGACCACTCAGAAGTCATGAAGGCTGCCTCATGAATATCAACAGTAGGGGACATTTTTGGGTTTTCATAAGCATGATTAGCTGAACGCACAAGTGTGGATGCAGTGCCACTCAAAGCCATTTAGGTTGAAGCCTTGTAGAACAGAACTGCAGAGACACAATTGCAGTGTCACTGTGCCTTGGGGGCAGAGTATTGAGCAACCGAGGATTAGCCTTGAGATCTCCTAAGTTTACCTTTTGTGTTTTGGACTCTTGCTTGGGAACTGTCACCTCTTCCTTTGTCCTCTCACATTAACACCCCTTTGGAATAAAAGTGCTTACACTATGGCTGTCCCTCCATTATATTTCTAGAAGGACACAGCTGGTTTGTTTGTTTTTTAAGGTTCACAGGGTGAAAAATAATTTTACCATAACTCACCCATATTTTATTTAAATACTTAGATGAAATTCAGATTTTGGACATCAGAGTTAATGGTAGAATAAATTAAGATTTTGGGTGTTGGCTGGGCAGTGGCTCATGCCTATAATCCCAGCACTTTGGGAGACTGAGGCAGGAGGATCATTTGAACCCAGGAGTTTGAGATCAGCCTCGGTAACAGAGGAAGACCTCATCTCTACAAAAAGAAATTTAAAAAATTAACTGGTCATGGTGACATGTGCCTGTAATCCCAGTCACTCAAGAGACTGAGGCAGAAGGATTTCCTGAGCTCAGGAGGTTGAGGCTGTGGTGAGCTGTGATTGTGCCACCGCACTCCAGCCTGGGAGAGTAAAACCCCAACTCAAAAAACTTGCTGCTTTTGGGGTAGGATGAATGTATTTTACATGAGGGACATAAATTTGGGGCAGGGACACAATATTACTGAGGTTATTTGACCCCTGAAATTTGTATATTCAAACCCTATTTCCTAATGTATGGAATGAGGAGGTGGGATTTCAGAGAGGTAATAGGATCAGTTGAGGCTATGAAGGTAGAGCTCTCATGAATGAGTTTAAAGGTTCCTTATTGGCTGGGCTCTGGCTCAGCCTGTAATCCCAGCACTTTGGGAGGCCAAGGTGAGTGGATTGCCTGAGCCCATGGGTTCAAGACCAGCTCAGGCAACTTGGTGAGACTTCCATCTCTCCAATAAATCAAAAAATTAGCTGAGTGTGGTAGTGCATGCCTGCAGTTCCAGCTACTTGGAAGGCTGAAGTGGAAGGATCGCTGGAGCCCAGCAGGTCAACACGGGTGGTCATGAGTGCCACTGCACTCCAGCATGGGTGAAGGAATGAGACTCCAACTCAAAAAAAAAAAAAAGATTTCCTAGAGAGCTTGCTTTTGCCCTTCCTATATGAGGACACAGGTAGATGACTGCACTCTTTTACCAGGAAATGGACTCTTACCTGGCACTTAATCTGCCATCACTTTGATCTAATAGTCTTCTGTAGAAGCAACCCTCATTTGTTGACGGGTGAATGAGCAAAAGATAATGATAATGTATACAATGGAATATTGATCAGCCACCAAAGGGATGAAAATTGTGACATGCGACAATGTGGATGAATGTTGTGGACTTAATGCTAAGTGAAACAGTCCTCTGCAAATACTATATATCCATAAAGTCAGCTCACTTAAAATACTCACCACTTTTCTCCAGACGTGGGCTCAACCTTCAGATCAGAATATTTCCACTTCTATGAGGTGTGTAGAGTAGTCAAATTCATGAAAAAAGTAGAATGGTGGCTTTGAGGGATTGGGCGAGTGAACGATGGGGAGCTCTGATTGGTGAGCATAGAATTTCAGTAACACAAGTTGAAAGTTCTGGAGGTGGTTGGGGTGATGACCAATATGAATGTACTGGGTACCAGTGATCTGTACACTTAAAATGGTCAAGGTATAGGCCAAGTACGGTGACTTACACCTTTAATCCCAGCCCTTTCGGAGCCCACGGGTTCGAGACCAGCCTGGGCAACTTGGCAAGGCCTCATTTCTACAATAAATCAAAAATTAGCCAGGCATGGTGGCGCGTGCCTGCAATTCCAGCTACTTGGAAGGCTGAGACGGAAGGATCACCTGAGCCCAGCAGGTTGAGGCTGTAGTGGCTGTGAGTGTGCCACTGCACTCCAGCCTAAGTGACAGAGTGAGACTAGAACTCAAAAAAAAAAAAAGGTTTATGTGTATTTTATACCATAAACAATGGAGAAAGAAAGTCACAGTACGGCCATGAGCCAATTAACATACCAAGCAGCCCTTGGTCTCATTCTCCTTGTTCTCAGAACTAAGTTTCTCCATTTTCCATGTTACTATGAAAGAGGAAATCCATTTGACTCAGACAGCCTTTAGATTTGATCCTGAAACTTAAGTCACCTACTGTCACACAACTTGGCCTCCAGTCTTGTCCCCACGCACTTTGGATCCCTGAATTATGCTAACTTCCTCCTCCTAACTTCCCCACGCACTTTGGATCCCTGAATT